ATTTTGTGACTAGATTAAGTAAAAGAAAAAAAAACAATGGTTGAATTTTTTTCTGTCTATCAAAATCTATTGTATCCAAAATAGCCATACCGAGACAAAATTATACAATAGTAACATTTTGTGAGGGTGGCATGATTCGTATCACCCTTTAACATTTGTATGCAGATTTGATTATGGCATCTGCTCCACTTGCTTGTTTACAATTACATATTACATTGGGGGATGGGGGGTGCTGCAGTGCAATGCCTAGTGTTTTGAACATTAATTCTTATTCATAGCAATCCCCACACCTATTAAATAAATCTTACTGTGGAATTAATTTGAAGAATTAGTAAGTGAGATAGACTTGACTTTACTGGTCCCCACTCCCACTGCACTATGATGTAAGATTTAAATCACTCAAGTGAAAAGGGAAAAATCTTGCACACTATTCAGCTGGTTATTTATCCATTATCCATTATTTTCCTTTAGGAAATTTCTCCACTTAATATCTACCATCTTAACAAATGCTTAATATATTTATCATTAATGTAGAACCCATAATGACTGTTAAATGTAGTAGTGTTAGGAGAAATGTTAGAGTTATCTTTCTTGTGCAGGAGACTGCACTCTAAACTAATAACTGCTTGTCATCATGTTATCACTAACCAAACCATTTTCTGCTTCCACTGCCTTTAAACACAGTTTCAATTTAAAATTCCCACTCATTAATTAAAAGATAAGTAACAGTACTTTGTTTTTCTAAAAATAAATTGCTATTTGACACTGCATTTTACTAAATGCCTTCTTTAGTTTTTCTTTTTTAAGTATCTGACTTTTTATCTCTGTTTTGATGGGAGATGACACATGCACCACTTAACAGATTTCCGGAATTAAATTTGGCTAAACGAGTAAACAGAGATTTCAGTACTTGTCTTTTCTTTCAGACAGCATCATGTGAATATTGTTATTAAGTAGATCTGTCCTGACTCCCGCAGTGTACTCAGTGTTTGGACAAAATGAGGAAGTCCCTCTATATAATTATAATGCATGTTGAAAATGTATCTCCATCATGCAGTGTTCTTTAGTGGAATAAGTTCATGAGTCTACTTTCATTGTCTGCTCAGTGGTACTTCAGTTTCAATCTCTTTAAACGTGTTAAACTTGAACTTGTATTGATCAGTAAACAATGAAAATGATGCTTAGTCAGTCCCACTGAATGTAGACGGAACCTGTGATTTATTTATTTATACCAAAATTAATGAGTTTTTAATCCAGGTTTAACATGTTTAATGATAAAGTTCTGCTGGTCCAGTGATTTTCAGACTATTACTTGTGTCAATAACTGTTGATCGTGTTGTCAGATAGAGAATTTTTTTCATTTCTGTGATGAATAAATCTATTTAATGCAGGAATGATGCACTCACTAGATTATAGATTTTAAAGTCACCGAAACCCAAAAATTATCATGTATAAAATATTTAATTAATCTGATTTAGAAGATGAGGATAATTTATGGGCAGAAGTGTTCTGATGTTGATTTTACAAATACCTGATACCTTGGTTTTTATAAAATAAAATTGTTAAAACGTGAAAAAAAAAATCCAGAATAAATGAAAAGTTAACATATTTTCTCTTAAAAGTTAGATAAAATGGGAAGAAGAAAATGGTCAGGATTTATGTTAAGCTTCTTAAGTTTACCTGAGCTGGATGCAAGTTATTCATATATTGAAATTTATTACACTACATTCCTTATTTTGTGTACTCTAGATCTAAATCATGATTTCATAGAGGAAAGTTGTATAATGATTAAAGAGTCCTCATCAAACTATGTATCTGGTATTAAGTCTTAAACCAGATTCAGGTGGGCCCAAAGTGGTGACATAACTTGAAAAACAACCCATGATGCTCAGGTGACTGTTCAAGCCCATAGGCCTCTTGTTGAGAAATTTTTTGAAACTAAGTACCCAGTGATTATATTTAGGTTACTGATTGATTGGTCCTCTATGGTGTAGTGGTATTTGTATAACAATAGATGTATCTATTTCATTTGGAGCCCTGGATTGTGTAACTAACACTTGAAGCAGCTTTACATTAAGTGACTGGGAAATCCCTCATCTGCAAGAGACATGCAAACATCCCATTACTCTGACTAATAACTGTTTATGGTCCAAGCTTCAACTGTATTCTTTAAGAAAGTAGATGTGCATTCGATTTTCAGATTTAGTAAAAGAAATCAATGAGGAGCCCTGCAGTAAGATGTGAAGACAGTTTGTCTGCTTGTCAGTGTTCATAATCTTACTTAATCCTGCAGATATTGGCAGCTATTCTCTGAATTCAAAGTTGCCAAAAACTAACTACCAATCAATAGTTGTCTTAAGCTAAACATGCTAAAGGAAAGAATTAATCATTTATAATCATGAAAAAAAGATTCATCACATTTTTCACTCGAATAGTTTTAAATGATAATACATTGATTGTTTAATGGCCTTAATCCTAATGTCCCTCAGTTGTAGAGACCCTTAAGTTAATCCTAATGTCCCTGTCTTGTAGAGATTTTTAATCCTAATGTTCCTGGGTTGTAGAGATTCTTAATCCTAATGTCCCTGTGTTGTAGAGACCCTTTAGTTAATCCTAATGTCCCTGTTGTGTAGAGATCTTTAATCCTAATGTTCCTGGGTTGTAGAGAACCTTAATCCTAATGTCCCGGTGTTGTAGAGACCCTTTAGTTAATCCTAATGTCCCTGTGTTATAGAGACCCTTTAGTTAATACTAATATCCCAGGGTTGTAGATTCCCTTAATCCTAATTTCCCTGTGTTGTAGAGACCCTTAATCCTAATGTCCCTGGGTTGTAGAGATTCTTAATCCTAATGTCCCAGGGTTGTAGAGTCCCTTAATCCTAATGTCCCTGGGTTGTAAAGAGCCTTAATCCTAAAGTCCCTGTGTAAGTGTTATAGTGATCCTTAATCCTAATGTCCCTGGGTTGCAAAGACCATAAAATGAATAATTTTTATCCCTCTATTCTATACATTAAATTTGATTTAAATTAATTTTACAACATCATCATAGTACATCACAGTATTAAATTAAAAGAAGAAATTGATCGAACTAGCTTGTATTCAAAAACCTTAATATGCACATTGGACAAAATTGATATAGCCAACAATGGATTATCTACATGATCTAAGTATTGATGTATCCTTATATGACTTTGTAAACCCTGCCTATTTGGTCAATATCGGATATTAAGTTATCACACATTTTACATTGATTGTCCTAATGAGCCACTTGAGATTAATCAGGGATCTGTAACATAAATTTTTAAAGAGAGTAACTACACAGAATGTGATCTTGTCTCAGAGATGCTAATTAATTAAGGATAACCTTTGAAATCCTTGATTTTGTTTTTTTTTTCTCTTAATTTTTCTGTAACATTCAAAACACAAATATTGATGATAGTACAAAATATGCCTGTTTTAATGGTTAAGAAATAGAAAACAACTTTAAATTGACTGCATAAAAAAACTAGGAAAAAAAAAGTGTCATACATCACAGACTTTATGCTTATTGTGTGTTATACAGTAATATGATTAATTATTCAGTGTTTGTATTGTTCTGTATACAATTCCTGTACCAAACACAATGTTTCAGATTGTATCCATTATGTCAATATTCTGTATGCTTATGTCTGTCCTTGGCGGCTTTAGTTAATAAGTCTGGCAGACTTTTCTCTCATCACTCTTTATTTACAGTATCTTTTGGAGACTAGAATTAATGAGGGGTATTGAGAGAGACCTGATAATTCCAGTCAATACAGAATTCAAAGTATCAATAGCTAGTTATGAACATGACAAATGGAATTCTTGCTCCTAATTAAGATGGGATTAGCTGTACTTTTGAGGAGTGCTGTATTGAAAGGAATTAGGATTAGAAATATAAGGGATTAAAGTATCTAATGGGAGTAGGAATAACTTAGGGAGCAGGACTTCTTATGTGGCGTTGGACTTTAAGTTTGGGATCAGGATCACTGATTTGTTGTTGGACCTGGAATAAATAAGGAACCAGAATTACTAATTTTGAGTTAATCTCTGGATTTTACTTGAAGAATTAATTAATAAATATATAGAAAAAGGATTTTTATATTAATTCAGAATAATGGGTCTGAATTAGAACTGGAAGTGGTTAATTTTAGTTGGGATCTAGATTTCTAGTGAGGAATAGGGAGTATTTCATTTGAATAATCAGTGTAGGTGTTTAATGCAATAAGGAAAGCGATTTCTGATTTGGGAATACTGAGTTCGCTGGGGAGGAGGGAGAATTTCAAATTGATACATCACATATTGACAACCAATACATAGCGGAGTCCCATCTCAGTATAAAAACTGTAGAGAAGGAGATCACATTGCATGGATTGGATGTAAATCTCTAGACATTGATACCAGTTGATACTGAGGGTTACACATATGAAGACCATACAAGTTCAAGATAGTTATTAAGCTTTAGTATTTTCCATTGGTTTTTGGAGAGATGTAGGATATGTGAGCCATTAGTTTTGTCGTTTTGTTAAAGTTTGCATTTTGATTGGGAGACCAAATTATTCTTAGAGGAAACTTACTTAGTGAGAATTTTTGTGAAAAACACATCAATAATTGATCGGATTCATGTGTCGTAGAACTGTGGGGTAGGAACTATTTCAGTAAATGTCCAATTGGTTAACGAAGTAGAACCTCCACTGACATGCTTTGATCTCGGTGTATTAGCACTTGAATTTGATACCCTGGGGTTTATTTTTAAAAACAAATGCAATCAATAATTTATGAGTAGAGTGATTGCCCCATGGTTAATAAAGATAGACTGCTTTGTGAGGCCGTGGTCTACTGGGAAACTTCTATTTCTCACAGAGTCAACAGATTGTCAATATTCAAAACATCGGAACACTAACATTCAGAGGTCTAAGTAACGTTCTGGGGTCATACTAAGTTACACTCCGAGGTCGGACTAAGTTACGTTCCGAGGTCGGATTAAGTTACGTTCCGAGGTCGGATTAAGTGTGCATTAATGAGTGTGCTGGAATGGACACAGGAGAAACTGGATGATTTGGAGAGTTTTGCTCAGACTTTGTTTCAGGACATGGGGAATATATTAGATCTCGGTCTCCTAAAGGAAGACTCTATAAATAAGCAGGTATATATCATCTCATTGATCTTTTACCTCTAGTACAGGAGTTCATCAACAAAGGTTGATTAATTTTTCAGCAGGCTAAAAAAAGTAATTAGAATATTTTCTTTCTGATCCATTAGTATTTATGTTAAAGGATATAGCCTGTTGGTCATTTTAAGTACTTGAATTCTGTCAGTAATACTACTGATGATTGTAGTTGTTCACAGATTCCAGTTTTAGGATGTTTTAGAGTAAAATTATTTTTTGTATCGATATTTACACATTGTTTAAATCAACACAATGACACACAGGGTGATATCTTGGCATTGTCAACCCAAGCCAGCTTATCATTGGTCACTGATGTCTGGGAATTATGGTTTTCTTGGATATGTATAATCATTTTACCATAGTCTGACTGTTGTTTCAATGATTCTTATGCCACTTAAAACTAAAACTGGTGTAGGGTATCCTTTTATACACAGCTGCCTTTGATCCGGCCTTCTCCAAAGTTAAACAGACTCTGTCATTCTTCATATTTTGAACATATTTTAATGTCTGAATGGTAGCCTTTTTTAGATTAAAATATGTGCATTTCTCTTGCAAATTTTAAAACAAGTTCACAAGCTGAATTTTTTTGATCCAATTTTTTTTTCACATTATGTCTTTGGCTTCATTGTGAAATTGTTGACATAGGTCTTACATGTAAATTGCAGCTATTTATTAGTATACAATTAATTACCCCTTTTGAGGTCAACATGGTGAAATAAGGACCCTCGACCTGGCCGACGAGGTGACCTGACCTGACCGAGGCCGCTTAGAGGCCAAGGTCAGGGCAGGTCATCGAGTGGGCCAGGTCGAGGGTCCTTATTTCACAGTTCACCATGTTGACCTCAAAAGGGGTAATCAATTGTTTTATTACACCGATATACATTGAAAAGTATGAATCTCTAACCATCAATTCTTTCTTTGATCGGGATTCGCTACAATCCGTATAGTGAAGTTGTTTACATTGATATCTGCAAGTCGTGTAAGTTAAATTTTTGCACCATGATTTACTGATTAAAATAATATTTGGTTGATAGCAACATACATGTTATAACTAATGATTAATTTTCCTCTACCCAGTCAAAATCTAACACAGAATTCAACTCTTTACAGAGCCGCTTATACATTCCAGAACTGAATTGAAATGATATTTTCAAATGAGTAAACCGTTTAAGTTAACAATAAAATTTTGCCGTATTCTGTATAGTAATGCAAAATTATTATTCTATGCATTAACTTCACTTAAAAAAGAATTTTTGAATAAGAGGTCATTATTTAGGGGTCATTAATTATAATGACCGGGACATTATATCCCACGTGCAATGATTCCTAGGTCATTATTGCTGTAAACAGTACCATTTGGAGTCATTGTTGTGTTTTAAAGTTTTCTTACCAGCCAATCAAATTCGAGTATTATCAATAGAGGTATAATAAATAGAATATCCTGAAGATCTAATTGACATATTCCTAAGATTTATTGTTGTTTGTTTGTCTGCAGGTGGACAACGTGAAGATGGTGGAGAGGTTTCGTACCCGAAATCCCGCGGTGGGGACCCTCTACCTGACCACCACTCACCTGATCTTTGTGGACAGTGCTGGGAAGAGGGAGACCTGGGTAAGTAAAGGGCTTCAGGGGTAGAGGGGGGATAGACAGTGCTCCAAGTCCCACTTACAGTACAGGCCTCAAGTTTTCCGCAAAAAACATGGGGCCCCGTGGACCGCAAGTCCACGCTAAAGCGTGGACCTCGAACCTTGTCGGCTTCTTTGAAGTCAGTGTTTCTGTGCACCGTGTAACACGGTGTGTCACAATTCTGATGATAAATATTTTAATCATTTTCATTGCCCTTTTTTAATAAAATTAAATCAACTTTCTTTTCAAATATTTGTTGTAATTTTCCATAAATTAATATTGGTAATTTATCGCATACAGATGTTTAAAGTGATAAGATGCCTTAAAATTTTATAACAACGTACTCGTGTCCAGCAAAAAGAAATGTACAATTACGTTTTAAGTTAAATCCTAATTATATTAGTCAAAAAAAAGTTCAATATACTATTATTATATTACACTAAGAGGAAAAACACTTTCCTAAATGAATTACTTTATTGTCTCTACTTTCGAATTTGATTTTGATTTTAATCGTGTTCAATTAAATTGTTGATCAATACAAGATCTTTTTTCCTACGTATGGATTTATACGTAGTACATATCAGATGCATGATTATACTAAGTAAATAAATTATTTTATTGTATGATTGAATAATTTCCATCTCTCTGATTGGCTGAGATCCAACTATGTTAGAAAAATATTACGTTGTATTGACCTGCACGTGACGTTCCAGGTCAATACAAGGATTTATTTCCTCTACATTGATCTAAAAATAGATTGGGAAATTCCAAATTGATACAAATTGTTTTAGAAAGCTATTTAAACGACTATGATTTTTATTTTCATGTGAACAAAACATAAGCGAATATATATATCTTAGGTGAGGGTGGTAAGAGGGGATGCAGGGACTGCCCCTCCAACACTTTTACTGAACAACAATTTGTTTTTTACTTTTTGGCTGTCAGTTTTCCCTGATAATACTTCTTCCTTTCAAAATCTATCCTATAAAAAAGACAGACATTATATATTTCTTTCATGGCATCTAAAATTGATTTTAAAAAAACATTTCAAATTGATACGACAGGTAAGGTTTATTCACATTTTAATTCCGATTCTCTCTTGTATTTGGCTAGGACTTAATAAAATGCAAACAAGTAATGAGCTGTATTATTTTATCAGTGAATCATATAATAAAACAATTATTGCTGTTTTTTCTGTCAATACAATGATTTAGCCATCTTCGAAGTACAATATTCACCTCGCCCTTCGGGCTCAGTGAATATTGTACTCCTCAGATGGCTAAATCATTGTATTGACCTCAAAAACCAGCAATAATTGTATATGGTAAGAATTTAAAATTATAATATATATAGGTATTGTGTCTAGAATAATTTAGAAAAAAAATACGTATCAGACTCGCACATTATTTCTACTCTTTGATATCGTGTGAAAAATGAAAAGAAAAAATAAACGGTTTGAGAAAACATAAAGATATTTAGCTATTTTTAAAAATGGTCTCCCCCCTCCCGCCTTCTAGACAGCAATACGAATCAGATGGTTAAAACTTTATCAGAAGTCTGCAAATTTATGTTATGTTTTTTAAAATCTTATTCTATGGGCATGATGGGATACATGCTTATTTGTGTCTGAAAAAGGATAAATAAATAAACAAAGTACATGACTTTGTAAGTTTATAATCGTTGTTGTAGTGAAACCTGGAAGATGAATTTCGCGTGATATCAGTTGAGTGTCTTATACACTTGTTATACACTTGCTGTGGTCAGAGCTAAAGAATTTGAAAGGTGTGATAAACATACGGCGCCCCTGGCCCAATATATTTTTTAAACAGGTGTGAACTCGGAACTGACCATAAGATTGTTTCAAATCACAAGAGAAATTCTTTCCGCGTAAACAGACTTTCAAGGTCACCGAGCGTCATGGGAATTTGATTGGCATGTGATGCTCGAGGATTTTGTGCGTACAGCAAATACAGAGAACGAATTGATTGCATTAAATTGGTTGAATATGAACAAAAGTTGTGGCAATTAAATAGAATTATAGAATGATTAGTTGTGACCTCCGTAACTTAAATAAATCGAAGAATCAAAAAAAAAAAAAAAAAAGTACAGACTATGTTAGAGGGGGGTTGTTTGAGTCTCTCTTTCTCTCTCTCTCTCTCTCTGGTATTACTTTTTATACACATTATAAGAAAAGAAAAACTTATTAGAATAAAGAAAATCTTTTTAAAATAATTACTTACACTGAAAGGATTTTAAAAACATAGTAAACACTACTCTATGAAAATAATGTTATGTTTGCTGTTACGAGAAATACGCTTTGAAATTATTGCATTAATTTCGTGTTTCTGCTGCCGATTTTCACATCCACATTCAGAATAATTCAAGATGAACAAAATAAATGTATTTCAATAAAGAATATACATAATAATGCTTGGATCATACACTAGTACTACATACATGTTAAAACAACATTATAAATACAGCTCGGATTTTATACTATACAGTGTATGTGACATTAATGCAGCTCAACGGCATTTCGTCTTCCTTTGTTACATGAACACATGAGATTAAAAAATTATTCCTTTAAAATAAAATTCATGATTTTGATTTTGTAACGTGAATGAATAATTTTACTAAAATATAAATTTCTAAACACACAGTTAATTCAAATGAAAATCATTCAATTTCTTTTTTTTACCAATATCTAATCTCAATATCATGCGTGCCATTCAGAGTCCAATATCTGGTAGAATAAAAACAATTATTATATATACATAAACCAAAGTTATAAATTGTCATCAAAATTTATTATAAAATTTTTATCAGAAACAAACGATTTTGTCTGTAATACTATTTACACGGTGCAGCTTGGAGGAGAATTTTCTGGACACGCAGTGCAACACGGAGCGAAGGTGCGACACGGAGGACATTAGCTGAGATTTTTCTAGACACGGTGCGACCCAGTGTGCTTACCTGTATATTTCAAATCCACACACACCGTGCTACACCGTGTACACGGTGTAACACAGAGCATTTCACATGGTGTTTTTTCCACCGAGCGATGCGGAAAACTCGTGGCCTGTACTGTACTTTAAGGTCGCTAAATGGCGACCTTAAACTTTTTTTGGTTGCCATTTCAGAATTTCTGGTCGCCATTAACAAATATTTCACTCGCCATGATGAAAACATGTGAATAACACAATTAAAACAATGAACTAACATCCACATGTGTTATGTTTTTATTAAATCAAAGATTATTGATTGCTGTGACTAGAAGTCTTTTGCTAGTTGAAGGATATATTTTTATTAAATACAACCACCCTTTGTATGGTACACAGAAGAACACACGTAATCTGATCCTAGAATTGAAGTTTAATCAAAAGAAAATAAAAAAAGACAGTTGTTGAGACAGGACTTTGCCAATTGTTTATCATGTTTACCTGTTTACTTACTACTAAGTATCTTACCGATAACACAGTCGTTATCAATGCCGCCAAAACACTTAATTAATTGTGATATGCAAGCCATTGACCAAATACTTTAATAACCAGGTCAGAGAAACTCTAGAAAGTTTACGACGTTTGGATGCCATTCTCTCAGAGACGTTATGTATATACGTTTCTGCTTCTATCAAACTTTACTATTACAGCATGCTGTCATAACATTATATGATCCAATTCCATACGACGCTTTGTAAAGTGTGTTAAAGTGTAAATCTTCAAACATTGTCTTGATAGAGAATCTTGAAAACGTAAATCTCGATCCCGATCATAAAAAGATGGACGTTGCGAAAAGGCGACTTAGTTTTAATTTCTAGTCGCAAAACTAATTTTTTGGTCGCAGATGCGACTGTTTTAGTCGCAACTTGGAGCACTGATAGAGGGGAGGGGGTATAGATCTCAGGTAATTATACCACTCACCTGATCTTTGTGGACAGAGTCGGGAAGAGGGAGACCTGGGTAAGTACAGGGGAGGGGATAGAGGGAAGGGGCATAGAGAGGAGGGGGTAAAGGTCTCAGGTAATCAAACCACTGCTCACCTGATCTTTGTTAGACAGTGCTGGGAAGAGGGAGACATGGGTAAGTACAAGGTCACAGGGATGGGGGGGGGGGGGGGAGAGGGGGTAAGGACACATCTAATCTTCATGATCTTTGTGGATGGGACAGTGTGGAGAAGAGGGAGACCTTGGTAAGTGAAAAGGTCACAGGGATAGAGGGGGGCCTGGGTGGAGGAGACGTAAGGTTCTCTGGGTGATTGCAGCACCACATTTATATAATCTTTATAATCTAAAAAATAGAAGTGCTAAACACAATGAAACCAGAGTTTTAGCTCCTATACAATCTGATACACCTGAAACCTTAACTTTATATTGCTTATATTTTTACACCTGAAATCTGTACTGTTTTTCCTGAAACATTAGCTTTATGCTCTTCACTTAATTACAAAAGCAATAAAACAACCAGCATAACACATAACCAATAGGTGCAAAAACTAATTTTCAGCACTCAACAAATGATATAAACCAATAACTCATCAATTACAATGTTATGTAAGAGATAAATCATACAGTTATAGACTGGGTTAATTTCCTAAATGAGAGGCTATTATTTTGCATCTCTTATTAAAAATTTACAGAAATAATTTAGTGACGTGACAGTAAAGAATATGCTGAACATAGTCTTGGTTAATTTATCAATCAACACACCTGCTGGTCTTTTACAGTAAATACTCGAAAATGGTTATGGTTTCAATCAACACACCTGCTGGTCTTTTACAGTAAATACTCCAAAATGATTATGGTTTCTTTTTCTGTTTTCAGAGCTTTACAGTTTCATTTATATACAGCCCTGACTGACCTTTTTAAAGTACTAGAGTTCAGAGAGTTTTTCTGGTTTAATTTGATAGAATTTTCATTGTGCATTAATTTTTCTTCTGGATGATTTGTGAAAATATATTTTTAAAAAGTACTGGATTGATCTGAGAGGAATTTGCCAACTTCAAAGGATAGAAGTTCAATACAATCAATATGATCCATGACTGGGGTTTTATTTATTGGAATCTTAGGCCATAATCTGTAAACAGAAATTGGCGTTTACACAGTTGACTTTCTCTTCATGTTTTAAAAACATGGCTGGTGTATCCGATGCTGGGTTTCAATGATTCATTCAATTAGTGCCTATCTTTATGTTCAAAGAGAAGCGTAGAGAAAATTGATTATACTGTTAAAGTTTGGCATCTGGAAATGAGCAGACTTCTTATGCAATTGGAATGTATAATTTGGATTGAGATTTTGAGATGTGCAAGATTTCATTACAAATTAAAGAAACACGATTAAATAAAAAGGAATTAATTTTGTTTTCCAGGGGTTACTGTATACAGGGTTATTTTTGCCCCGTCTTATTTTCGCCCTTTCACTCTTGCAAACAATTTTGCCCCATTTTAAATTCGCCCAGTCATAGTTTTGTTTAAGAAATTATATTGTATTCTTTGAATTCACCCTGTTTTAAATTCGCCCAAATGAGGGTAGGCAGGGGCGGAAATAAAACTGGGGCGAAAATTTCCCTGTATACAGTATTTTTGTAAATTTTGTATAGCAGCAAATATTACCTCTCAACAGGGGATGCTTTTTCTCCCATGGCACCTGATCCGACCTTTGATGTTTTTAGAGGTCGTTGTTTGCTCTACTCACGATTTGTATTGTTTCAGTGGAGGTATAAACTTGATTACCCTGTACTTTTTACTGTCTCCTTTTTTTCATTTAAGAGACTCTATAACAAAAAAAAATGCTAGATTGTCATATTTCTGAATCAGCTGATGACTATAATAAAACTATCACACAGTCTGTACATAGGATACACAATTCTGATTTTGACTACTTGTGATTGTTGGTGATCTCCTGTGTTTTAACCTTACAGCCTACAAAGAAACAGAGATCTTAAATCAATAGAACTGCGGGCTAGTGAAATCAATACAGATATTTGGTAACATTCTACAAGAGTAATGATGATCAGGCTAAAGCCAATGGATTGGACCCCTTCCAAATGAGTCACCTTTGCCAGGGTGTATTTTCCTAAGTAGGCTATATGCTCTGACTGATTGCTGCTTTAGATGTTTAGACTGGCCTAAGTAGAAAAGGACAAAATTATATTTCTGAAACTTATATCAGTTGCTGACATATAATTATGATCAATGGTTGATTTATATCAGTGGCAGACTAATTATATCAAGGGTTGACTTGTATCATTGACTGACTTATTCTATCAATGGTTGACTTGTATCAGTGGCAGACTTATTAATATTATATCAGTGACTGACTAATGTATCATTGACTGACTTATTATATCAGTGACTGACTTGTATCATTGACTGACTTATTATATCAGTGACTGACTTGTATCATTGACTGACTTATTATATCAATGGTTGACTTGTATCATTGACAAACTTATTATATCAATGGTTGACTTGTATCATTGACTGACTTATAATATTAATGTTTGACTTGTATCATTGACAAACTTATCATATCAATGGTTGACTTGTATCATTGACTGACTTATTATATCAATGGTTGACTTGTATCATTGACTGACTTATTATATAAATGGTTGACTTGTATCATTGACAGACTTAATATATCAATGGTTGACTTGTATCATTGACTGACTTATTATATCAATGGTTGACTTGTATCATTGACTGACTTATTATATAAATGGTTGACTTGTATCATTGACAGACTTAATATATCAATGGTTGACTTGTATCATTGACTGACTTATTATATCAATGGTTGACTTGTATCATTGACTGACTTATTATATCAATGGTTGACATGTATCAGTGGCAGACTTATCATATAAATCCAGGTTGACTTGTAACATTGACTGACTTGTTTCAGTGAGTTACTTATACTGTCACAGTGGTAGGCCTTTATTAGTGGCAGCTGTTTAAAGGGACGTGGACACAGATTTGGTCAAATTTTATTTATCCATTTTTATTATTCAAAATACTTGACTTCAGTATTTTTTAATGGCCAGCCAAAATTTCAGTGTGAGGTGTCAAGTCATATTTAGCAACATACAGAGCTCACAAATATTTGTTATGTAAACAAAGTTGGTGCCATTGTTTTTGTGTACATTGATACACCAATGAAAGTTCTTTTTCAAGCAGATGATTAACTATCTGCAAGTTTATTTTAAACACATATTGTAACCAAATTACAATTGGCATTTTCTACTCAGTACTCATAATGTATAAACAATAACATGGCCTGTGGCCCCAAGACAAAAAACTGAAAACAGGCTAACAAGTCAAAAACACTTCCATTTGTTCACTGTTCACTGACTCACAAATTTCTATGGTAACTGAGGTAGCAAGTATGGAACTCATCTGAGACTAAGTACCAGAAGTTCAAACAAATAAACTGTGGGTACCCCATTTATTGATTTCTCTGTAGACCCTCTGTAATCATGATATTAGTTTTCGTATTAATAAAAAGCCATCTTTAGTTCTTGGCACTTTATGATGCTTTTCTCATTAGAAAATAAAGCTATATCAGTGTTTCTTTGGCCACAGAAGCAATCTTTCCTGTATCAGATTTTCATGTTGTGTTTGCTTGATTAATTTTACTCTTCCATCAGGCAAACATATTTCATGTCTTATTGCCGGCAGAGGCAGGGATGGGGCTGTAGATCTGCTATTACCATAGGAATCACCAGGGGATGTCACGGCTTATCTGGAATATGCTGGATTTAATCTTGTCTTTTAGAATATTTCTCCTAAAAGTTGCTTTTTGTTGTTTCCCAAATTGATTCTTTCATAATACCAAGGTTTCTATTGATTATGTTTTACTGTACTATAACCCTGAAGAAAGTGCATTCAGCAATTTTGATATTGGACATTGAGTGGCAGAAAAGAGAATTGTACATTTTAAAGTAACTATATGCCAGATGGAAACAGATTAACAGTCAAAGAAAAAAATGTAGGGAAAGAAGTCCAAAGTCTACTTCTCAACTGCAAAAATCATGAAATAAAGAAAGATATACAAGTAATATAAACAAAATCTCATCTAGAACCTATGTATCTAATATAAATAAGAATAAAAGTTTTTAAAGTCCAATATCCTCTACATGTGTACATACTACAACAAGGCTAGCACAATGATCAAATTTTAAAATGCAAGCATTGATTCAAATTTTGTTTCAGAGATGAACAGAAACAACTGCTGTAGAACTTCATTTTTGTCAGTAATAAGGTCAAGTCAAGGTCACAGAGATACAAGTTTGTTGTCATGACCCTTTGAGTCAAGGTCATATAATTCAAGTTTGTTTTTTATATTGACCTCTGAAGTCAATGTAACAGTGATTTATAGTTTGGGAATCTGTATAAGGTGTTGCTAAATTATTATGGCAAAATGACCATGACAAAAAAAACTGTTCATCTCTTACAATTTCCTCTGGATAAAACTTAAAAGAGCAATTATTAAACTCTCCTTATGAACAAGGCATTGGTTTTTACAAGCTTTAAGTTTAAGGCCCCCAACAAAAAGGACTCAGTTAAGCAAGCCAGAGAAGAACCATCACAGTTCCACAGGTAACCAGCGAAGTAAAATAAAATAATCACTGGGTCTGATTTAGTAGATAAAATCACAAATTAAGAACTGGATATTGATGAAGCTGATAGGAAGCTCATAGTGTTTAACTGAGGTCAAACAAAATAATATCAATATCCGCTATAATTATCGTGATTATGACGGCTATATATAATAGCAATGTTTTGTCTTGTGATTTCGTCATTTATGATGGAATTTCCGGAGGAAAATTAAGACTGCAATGATGTCTGAAGTTTTAAAAGCCTGTAATATTACACAGTATTTGTCATGCAATGTGTAATTGTTTCTAAATGCTTTACCAAATGATAAAATCAATTTCTTATCTGCAGCATACAGACCCTTGATTGTCTGTAGAATATCTCTCCAGCGATTTCCAACCTCCGTTATTTTTATTCTGGATACAAATTTTCTATAAAGTTTCAGGCAGTAACCAGCTCTTGGTATTGACTTTTAAGAAATAGCCCCAGTTTGGTCGTTCTCAATAGGTGTTCAAGCTCGGTATTATTTTTTATCCAGGACTATTCCTCGGAGAATTTCTCTCTTTATCAGCATTTTGCGAGTGATTGTTGGGCCAAATAATGGACTTTTATGGGTCTGTGATGATTAGATAGCGTTAGAGAAGAACCTTCAGGCCCTGTGTTTTACTGTTTGTTCAGCATCGTGTAGCAATTTGTTACTGTCATATTGATAATTCATTCTCCTCAATCATGAGGAGGAAAAAAACATTTCTATTTTCAAACCAGAACTCAAGAACCAATATTTGTCCAGTGATCCACTAGTATAAGCCTGGGGAACAAATACTTTTATGCTTGTACTTTACTGATATAATTTAGCTGCTATAATTTTTGTGTTTCATCATCTTCAGTATTTGCACTAAGAAAAAGCATTGTGCCAAATTGAAATCCATTTCATTCTAAACATTTTGTTTTCTGTTATTTCTGTTTATTGCTTTTAGTTTTAGCCCTTAAGTATGTTAAAGCTGTGCATCTTTTAACAGTTTGCAATCATGACAAAGTGCAATTTTGAAACCCTGAATTTATGCTATCCACTGTAGATTCATTAATTTTTTCCATACAGATTACTGTTGGCAAACTGGAGATACATTCTTGTAACATAATGATAGCATATGTGTTAGGGTATTTAGAAAAAGTGACCCTCAAAAGACCTTACAGACCAATGGTCCTAATAAATAAAAATCAGAGTTGACTCCCCTTTGTTGATGATTTTAATGGATATCTATTTATAGATCCTGCACACCCACATGTACAGTACTGGATTTCTATTTATAGATCCTACACACCCACATGTACGGTACTGGATTTCTATTTATAGATCCTGCACACCCACATGTACAATATAGAGAAGCAGCCCCTGAATGCCGGGGGATCCCCCCTACAGATCCGCTGTAAGGATTTCCGATGTATTACTTTTGTGATTCCTAGAGACAGAGACTGCCAGGACATTTTTACCTCCTTACAGGAACTCTCCAGACCAGGTCAGCTGCTGTTCTGATAAGGTCAACTGTAAAATTAGTGCTTACATAACATTTCAAGCTCTCTTATTAAAGATTTAAAGAATCTATCCAAAGTGCACATATTTCATTGACAAGATGATTGTAAAAAGATTTATTTCCAAAAATGGATGATGAACTTGTACAGGTATCATACTTCTAACATTTGATATTTTTTTATTTGTCTTTTCTTGTCAATTTTTTTTGCTGAATCCATTTTTTTTACTTTTTAGCTGACATAGAGAAGCTGTATGCGTTTGTTTATTCTGCGGCGGATGGAATGGAGAAGTCGTACGGCTGGGATCTGTACGATGCTCAGTCTGAGTATCTGAGGATGGGGGTCCCTAACCAGAACTGGTCCCTCTCCAACCTCAACAAAAATTACGAGGTACTGCACACTGGTCACTCTCAAACCTTAACAAAAATTAGGTACTGTTCAATGGTCACTCTAACCTTAACAAAAATTACGAGGTACTGTATTTAGTCACTCTCTAACCTCAACAAAAATTATGTGGTACCGTATTTAGTCACTCTCTAACCTCAACAAAAATTACGAGGTACTGCACACTGGTCATTATAACCTAAACAAAAATTGCGAGGTACTGTACTCTGGCTATTTTTAGGGGTGAAACAATATGTCTCCTTCATCGTATCGTAAAATTTGGTCTCGGTTCGGTTATTTTCAAAACGATACATTTCGACAGAAGGAAACAAATTCAACTGTTGTTTTATGCTTCCTTTCACTTAATCTAGTCAAATAATTAATGTGCAATGGATAGAAGCAATCAATTTGATTAACTTGACTGTTAAAAATTATTTTACAAACTGTTAGTCCACAAAAAAATTACATTTTAAAAACTAATTATACGGAGGAGCATGTTTATACCTTATACCAAACCCGACTGAATAACGATCCCGACCAAAAACGAACTGAACCGAAAATAGAGATTTTGTACCGTGTATCGAACCGAGAAAAAATACTGCATTGAATTGATACAGCGGTGAACTGTTTCACTCCTAGCTATTATATAACCTTTACAGCAATTATGAGGTACTATACACTTGCTATTCCGTGATTTCAGTAAAAATGAACAAAGTACTACACACTCAGTCTGGCCATTTTTAACATGAAAATAATGAGGTACTACATGTATACATTGGTCCCTCTCTAATCAGAAGAGAAATTAATGAAGGCATGACTAGACAGTTGTACAATTATTACAGTAACTGTTAGAAATTTGTATGACAGAATCGTACAAGAATATTTATGGCCAAAGGAGAGGAAAAACTTTCTTCTGTGGTGAGCAATTCACCACTTCAGGAATGAAATGTTGACCTGTCTTGGCAATAATTGTCTTAATTCACAAATGATCCACTCTATGTGATGTACAATAATATGCACTTGTTATGATGATATAGTAAAATATCTGATTCCTAATCTGACTGACCTTTATAAAACGTTTGTTTGTTATATTTTTAGCTCACCTGAGCCGAAGGCTCAAGTGAGCTTTTCTGATCAAAATTCGTCTGTTGTCTGTCGTCATTGTAGTCGTTGTTGTCGTCGTCGTTGTCGTAAACTTTTCACATTTTCATCTCCTCCTCAAGAACCACTGGGCCAATTTCAACCAAACTTGGCACAAAGTATCCCTGGGTGAAGGGGATTCAAGTTTATTCAAAGGAAGGGCCACGCCCTTTTCCAAGGGGAGATAATCATGAATTAGAGAAAAATTATTGGCATTTTTAAAAAATCTTCTTCTCAAGAACCACTGGGCCAGGAAAGATGAAACTCATGTGGAATCATCCTCAGGTAGTGTAGATTCAAGTTTGTTCAAGTCATGACCCCCGGGGGTAGGGCGGGGCCAAAATGGCCGATCAAAGTTTTACATAGGAATTAATAGGAAAAATCTTTAAAAATCTTCTTCTCAAGAACCACTTGAACAGGAAAGATGAAACTCATGTGGAATCATCCTCAGGTAGTGTAGATTCAAGTTTGTTCAAGTCATGACCCCCGGGGGTAGGGCGGGGCCAAAATGGCCGATCGAAGTTTTACATAGAAATATATAGGAAAAATCTTTAAAAATCTTCTTCTCAAGAACCACTGGGCCAGGAAAGATGAAACTCATGTGAAATCATCCTCAGGTAATGTAGATTTAAATTTGTTCAAGTCATGACCCCCGGGGGTAGGGCTGGGCCAAAATGGCCAATCAAAGTTTTACATAGGAATATATAGGAAAAATCTTTAAAAATCTTCTTCTCAAGAACCACTGGGCCAGGAAAGATGAAACTCATGTGAAATCATCCTCAGGTAATGTAGATTTAAATTTGTTCAAGTCATGACCCCTGGGGGTAGGGCTGTCACGGGTACCCGAAATGACCCGGAACCGCGGAACAATTAATTCGGGACGGGTACGGTTCCGTTTTTCCGGAATTCGGTTCGGGTCCGATATGTATAACAGAGTAGATTTTACTATAAAAATGGCGTCAAAAAAGAGAGATTTGTTAGAACATTGTCATAAAATTTCGAAATGGCAGGAAAAAAAATAAATTTACCTGCCATGTTGGCCTGTAAGTTTGACATTGAACAGACAGAATGGCCGATTATCTTCTGTATGTAAAGGCCAGTCGTATATTTTTCCCCCTTTAGATCCGATTGTTTTTCTCTACTTTCTGCAACTGCCGATTCAATCAGCCAATGACATTTTGGTATAAATAGATCTTGACAAAATACTCTATAATTTTATTTCCAAACCCATCTGCAAGGAGCATAAAAGTAGTGATGAGTGTTTAAAACATCGAAGGAAACCATACCATGTTGTTTTTTTACCGCCATGATTGAATATGGGGTCGGACTAATAGCAGGAAACGGACAATGTTGCAAAGTTTTACAAAGGGAAAAAATTAGTCTAGGTAATCTTTAAACGTGATTATACATTGAATATCATTAGAGATACAAGTCTTATTTTTGGATTACTATTTTTAAAAATTATATTCCCAAGAAATAAATACATGTACAAGTAAGAAAAGGTGGGACTAATATAAGTTAAATACCCATTGAATGGAATTAAAAAAAAACAATCCCCATTCTGTTTCAATATATTAATTTTTTTTAAACGAAAACAAAATAATATTTCCACCTTATTAAAAGGAAAGTCAATATTCATATTTGAATATTTCATGTAATAAAATGACTATTTTGTAAAAGTCTGACAGAAATCTGAGTTAGTTTAACTTTTCTATTGGCCTATAATTTTAGGAAGTTTAGGACAGAATGGCCTATAACTTTTCTGGTAAATATGCCAGATGTCCTATAGTTACTGAAAAATTATTTCAATCTGAAACCCTGAAAGGTGATTTAAATAAATTGGTACAATTGTTGTCTAGTCAGGAGGCTACTTTAAACTAGTTATAATGTTGCAATTTCTAAGATTTAATGTGGAAATAATACAAATCATGAGCTTTTCTTCCATTACCTACCCGACCCGAGAAACCCGAAACCGAACTTTAAAAAATCAGAACCGACCCGACCCGAAAAATTTTGGAACCGTGACAGCCCTACCTGGGGGTAGGGCGTGGCCAAAATGGCAGACCAAAGTTTTACATAGAAATATATAGGGAAGCCTTTTTAAATCTTCTTTTCAAGTACTTCAAAGCCAGGATTAGTTATATTTGTATGGAATCATCCTCAGGTAATGTAGATTCTAGTTCGTTCAAATTATGATCCCCTTGGGGGTTAAACTTCAAGCCCCCCCCAACTTAAGTTAACTTTCAGTTCTGATCTGATATGTGTTTTTTCCTAGCTGATGTGCTCAGGTGAGCGCTGTGGCCCCTGGGCCTCTTGTTTTAAATTAAATTTGTTGACAGCTTTGTGATACATATCGTTGACACCTCTTTCTTATCTTTCACTATTATATGACTGACTTTGTTGATTTATTTGTGTGTTATATTTTTGTTGACAGTATCAGTACTTTCAGTACTTTGATTTCGTTGACAGCTTTGTGATACATATCCCAGACACCTCTTTGTTATCTTTGACTATTATGTGACTGACTTTGTTGATTTATTTGCGAATCAGTACTTTCAATACTTTGAATTTTTTGACAGCTTTGTGATACATATCCCAGACATTTCTTTGTTGATTTACTTGTTGACACTATTAGTACTTTCAGTACTTTGATTTTTTTGACAGCTTTGTGATACATATCTCAGACACCTCTTTGTTATCTTTGACTATTATGTGATTGACTTTGTTGATTTATTTGTGTATCAGTACTTTCAGTAATTTGATTTTTTTGACAGCTTTGTGATACCTATCCCAGACATCTCTTTGTTCCGGCTTCAGCGTCGACACCAATCATCCTCGGCAGTTCTAAATTCCGCAGCCGTGGACGACTTCCTGTTTTATCTTACTTTCACAGTAAAACTCAGGTAGGTAAACCCCAGGCTTATAAACAAATCACAGTAAAACCCAGATGTGTCATACCGTATAAGTGGAAATTTTAGCGAGACGCAAATTTAGCGATTTGTCCTGAAAATATGGTGTTTTATTTTTAGCGAGAAGTAATTTTAGCGATTTTAAAATCCTCACTTAAGAAGCTATTACAATTTAATTAAAGTTTATTTTTTAGCAATATTTTTAGCGATATTTTTAATTTTAGCGAATAATGCCAAAATTAAATCCTCGCTAAAAATTCTACTTATACGGTATTTCATTATATATAAAGCCCAACTTTATTGTCTTGAACTATGACAGACTGAGGTTAAACTTAGAGACAGGAGAACACTGACACTGTATTTATCTGCTGTTATTTCTAGGCAGCCATTTGTCGATGCAGTCAGCCTCTTTCTGGATTTCGAGCCCGCTGTATGGAAGATGAACAATTACTACACTGCATTCTAAAATCCAACCCCAACCCTAAATCAGAGTTCATGTACGTCGTGGATACCAGGCCAAAGGTGAGACTCTGATGTATTTATGAGACCATCCAACATTTCACACCTTTGTACTGATATTTTGCCTTGGTGGTCAATTGAATAACACTTGTTATTCAGAGGAGAATTTCAGGTTATCTAAGCAGACTAATTTAGTTTTTGTGTTACAGATAAATGCCATGGCAAACAAGGCGGCAGGGAAAGGTTACGAGAATGACAACCATTACACAGACATCAAGTTCCAGTTCTGTGGCATCGAGAACATCCACGTCATGAGGGCCAGTCTACAAAAACTACTGGACGGTAAGATAAATACTGTACAGTATATCAGTATGTATGTAGGTCAAACTGAAGGATGGTAAATCAGTTGATCTTATTTAAAAAAAGTACAGAATGAATATCAAAGAATATTTCAAACTACTGGAAAGTGCATCTGTTGAAAAAAAACTAGTGAATTGCATATATCAAATATATGAAAATTTGAAAGTAACTATGTAAAAATGAATGAGGTGATAAAACCTGTATGAAACAGAAATTACAGGTAGTCATGACAAATGAGGTAATCTTATAATAAAAAGAAACTTCATTTTAAATCATCATTGAAATATGTGTCAGTAATAAGCAGCAAAACAAAAGGACTAATTATTCAAAACCAATGAGAAGTAAGAAATCTTATATCCACTCTGTTGTATATATCTGTTTATCTGTGTTTCAGTGTGTGAGATGAAGAACCCTTCCATGTCAGCATTTCTCCAAGGACTGGAGACAAGCAGCTGGCTCAAACACATCAAGTCTGTTCTAGACACCTCAGTGTTCATAGCAGAGGTAAGTCTAGGCACCTCAGTGTTCATAGCAGAGGTATGTATTAGACACATCAGTGTTTATATCAGGGGTATGTGTAGACACCTCAGTGTTCATAGCAGAGGTAAGTCTAGGCAACTCAGTGTTCATAGCATGTTTCCCACTATCGTTCACGCATTATGCAATTATCCCATGTTTTCCACTATTGTTGATGCCCTGGCATACTTTACTAACTAGACAGTGATTCCTTAAATAATCTGAGATTAGTGAAAATTAGAATGAGAGGTATATGTTAGTTATTGTTGAATTAGGGGAGATAAAACCCAAGTTATATCAAACTTGTTGTTTATTTCAGACTGTGAAGATATTTGTTGTTTATTTGTAGTTTATTTCAGGCAGTGAAGATGTTTGTTGTTTATATGTTGTTTATTGGTTGTTTATTTGTTTATTTATTTTTTGTTTATTGGTTGTTTATTTCAGGCAGTGAAGAACGGGCAGAGTGTTCTGGTCCACTGTTCTGATGGCTGGGACAGAACAGCTCAGACCTGCTCCTTGTCAAGTCTGATGCTGGACCCTTACTACAGGACAGCCCAGGGATTCCAGGTAAGTCAAGGACTTGTCTTTTACTTTCCACCTGCCATAGGTCAGCCCACTGCTTTCAGATAGAGAGGTTCTCTGATTAATCCAGATAGCTACCCAGGGTTTTCAGGTATGAGTTCTCTGACAAGTCTAATGCTGAACCAGTATTTGATGCAAGACCAGGCCTATAGGTTTCAGATATACTAGTCTAATGCTAGACCATGATTTGTAATTGTACAGAATTTATGAAAGAGTGAAGTAAAAATGCAGTAAAAATGGAATGTTAATAAGCTTCAATATATTAGAAATGTATAATCCTCTGTAGGCGCTGATAGAGAAGGAGTGGTTGTCATTTGGCCATAAGTTCACAGATCGCTGCGGTTTCCTGGAGACGCCGGACAATAAGGAGACGTCGCCAGTGTTTACGCAGTTCGTGGAGGCCGTTTGGCAATTAATGCAGCAGTACCCCTGTGCATTCCAGTTCAACGAACGATTCCTTCTGACCATCCATGACCATGTATACTCATGTCAGTTTGGAACATTTATAGGGAACTGTGAAAAGGACAGACTGGATCTGAGGTAAGTTGTCAGAGTTAGATAGTTTCATTTTTGTACAGGGTTTTACATTGTCTGTTGTACATCTATTTTCTCTCTGTCATATATGAAAGTAAACTTTCAATGAAATTTCTAAAAGAGCATTTAACATATTGCTCAGAGCATATCAACTGTAAAAATATTTAAACATACATTTGTATTTCTAAATCATTATTAATTCACTTTTTATACCCCCCAAAAAAAAGCAGTTCAACCATGTCATATTTTTTGAAATTTGAGAGAGGGATAGGGAAAAATTTTCGTATTGTACTTTAATGTTAAAAGAATTTTACAGACCCTGAACCAAGACTTCAAATTTCAAATTTCCCTTATATGAAATCATCCTGATGAAATGAACAATGAATTTTTGTTATGCATATCCTTACACATTGGATCTGTGAAAACCAATGGTCATCTCACTCTAATTATATCAAATATTTTGATCAACTTACTGTAAATTTATCTTCAATGATTTTTGCTGTAGATTGAGTGAGAGAACCTATTCCTTGTGGGGCCATATGAAGAAGCACATGTCAGAATTCCTGAATCCTCTCTACAAGAAAGAGTATGAGGTGACCCATCCTACTTTATCACCAAACACCAGCTCTCAGAATGTCAAGTAAGTAAAACGGTGACACCCCCCTCCCTCCCCCTCATCCCCACACTCTCACTTTGCACCAGCTGTGACCCCCTATTACTTAACCCACCCAAGCTCTCAGAATGTAAAGTAAGTAAGTCGTTGACCTGTCACCCAGCAGATCCCAGAACCTCAAGAGTAAGTAAAACTGTGACCCAACCTACAATATCACCTAACTCCAGCTCCCAGGTTGTCAAGTATGTAAAACTGTGACCCAACCTACAATATCACCTAACCCAGCTCCCAGGTTGTCAAGTATGTAAAACTGTGACCCAACCTACCATATCACCCAACCCCAGCTCCCAGGTTGTCAAGTATGTAAAACTTTGACCCAACCTACAAGATCACCTAACTCCAGCTCCCAGATTGTCAAGTAAAAATGTGACCTACCCCACACTATCACCTAACCCAAGTAAAAACACTTTCACATCTCTGTGACCCAAACTTATTATTTCATGTTAGTTCTAGAGAGTTATTTTTCACTTGGAACACCGGTATGATGTGGGGCTTCATCCCAGAGAACAGATTGCAGACATTCTGAGTGCTGCCAAAGATCACTCAGATTCACTGGAAGACCACATCAGTCTACTAGAGAAGGTAAGATCACTCAGACTCACTAGACCCATCCCCCACCCTCACTAGAGGACCACATCAATGTCACCCAGCAGATCCCAGAACCTCAAGAGTAAGTAAAACTGTGACCCAACCTACAATATCACCCAACCCCAGCTCCTAGAGTTGTCAATCAGTCTACTAGAAACTGACCCACCTACAGATCACACTAACCCAGCTCCCAGGTTGTCACATCAGTATAAAACTGTGACCCAACCTACAGGATACATCAGTCTACTAGAGAAGGTCACCTAACCCAGCTCTAGAGGTTAAGATCACTCAGACTCATGTAAAACTGTGACCCAACCTACCATATCACCTAAGAAGGTCACTCAGACTCACTAGAGGAGTCTACTAGAGAAGGTAAGACACTTTGAGGACCACATCAGTCTACAAGAAGGTAAGATCACTCACCCAACCACATCAGCTACCACTCAGAGTTGTCTACTAGAGAAGGTAAGATCACTTCACTGAGGACCACATCCTACAGAGAAGGTCACACTCAACTCCAGCTCCCAGATTGTCCACATCAGTCTAAGAAAGGTAAGATCACTCAGACTCACACACATCAGTCTACTAGAGAAGGTAAGATCACTCAGACTCACTAGAGGACCACATCAGTCTACTAGAGAAGGTAAGATCACTCAGACTCACTAGAGGACCACACACTTTCACATCTCACTAGAGGATCACATCAGTCTACTATGTATAGATGACCACTTGCCTTAAGATCTTATTATTTCACATGTCTACTAGAGAAGGTTCACTAGACTCACTAGAGGACCACATCAGTCTACTAAGAAGGTAAGATCACTGACTCACTAGAGGACCACATGTCTACTATTTTTCACTAGATTTTGAGAAGGTAAGATCACTCAGACTCACTAGAGGACCACATCAGTCTACTAGAGAAGGTAAGATCACTCAGACTCACTAGAGGACCACATCAGTTACTAGAGAAGGTAAGATCACTCAGATTCACTAGAGTGCTGCCAAAGATCACTCAGATTCACTGGAAGACCACATCAGTCTACTAGAGAAGGTAAGATCACTCAGACTCACTAGAGGACCACATCAGTCTACTAGAGAAGGTAAGATCACTCAGACTCACTAGAGGACCACATCAGTCTACTAGAGAAGGTAAGATCACTCAGACTCACTAGAGGATCACATCAGTCTACTAGAGAAGGTAAGATCACTCAGATTCACTGGAAGACCACATCAGTCTACTAGAGAAGGTAAGATCACTCAGACTCACTAGAGGATCACATCAGTCTACTAGAAAAGGTAAGATCACTCAGACTCACTAGAGGACCACATCAGTCTACTAGAGAAGGTAAGATCACTCAGACTCACTAGAGGACCACATCAGTCTACTAGAGAAGGTAAGATCACTCAGACTCACTAGAGGACCACATCAGTCTACTAGAGAAGGTAAGATCACTCAGACCACATCACTAGAGGACCACACATCAGTCTACTAGAGAAGGTAAGATCACTCACTCAGACTCACTAAAGAACCACATCAGAATAATACAGAAGGTAAGATCACTCAGACTCAATAGAGGAACACATCAGTCTACTAGAGAAGGTAAGATCACTCAGATTCACTAGAGGATCACATCAGTCTACTAGAGAAGGTAAGATCACTCAGACTCACTAGAGGACCACATCAGTCTACTGGAGAAGGTAAGATCACTCTAGAGAAGGTAAGAGATTCACTAGAGGACCACATCAGTCTACTAGAGAAGGTAAGATCACTCAGACTCACTAGAGGACCACATCAGTCTACTAGAGAAGGTAAGATCACTCAGATTCACTAGAGGACCACATCAGTCTACTAGAGAAGGTAAGATCACTCAGACTCACTAGAGGACCACATCAGTCTACTAGAGAAGGTAAGATCACTCAGATTCACTAGAGGACCACATCAGTCTACTAGAGAAGGTAAGTAATCACTAAAGGACCACATCAGTCTACTGGAGAAGGTAAGATCACTTAGACTCACTAGAGGACCACATCAGTCTACTAGAGAAGGTAAGTAATCACTAGAGGACCACATCAGTCTACTGGAGAAGGTAAGATCACTTAGACTCACTAGAGGACCACATCAGTCTACTAGAGAAGGTAAGTAATCACTAGAGGACCACATCAGTCTACTAGAGAAGGTAAGATCACTTAGACTCACTAGAGGACCACATCAGTCTACTAGAGAAGGTAAGTAATCACTAAAGGACCACATCAGTCTACTGGAGAAGGTAAGATCACTCAGATTCACTAGAGGACCACATCAGTCTACTAGAGAAGGTAAGATCACTCAGATTCACTGGAAGACCACATCAGTCTACTAGAGAAGGTAAGATCACTCAGATTCACTGGAAGACCACATCAGTCTACTAGAGAAGGTCAAGACAGAGATAGAGGGAATGTAAGCAAAGACATGTGATGGGAGGGGGGGGGGGCTCAGTGGAGATCTCACAAACTCAGTGGAGGAATGTTATCATAGGAGAAGAATGTCATAAGAGTGTTTTCTTAAACTGGGAGTTGTTCACATTTTCATCAGATTTTAATTACAACACTGTAAATTATGATCTTTGGTGATAAAGAATCAAAAATGAAATTGACCGATGAATTTAAAATTTAGTCAAAGTTTCCTTTTGTCACTTTTCTCAGTCTTGTTAATACGTGTACATATCAAACCATTCATGTTTCCTTTAATCAAATTTCTAAAATGAGGAAATCGTCAAATTTTTAATTCCCCAAATTCTAAATGCATTTCTTCAGTTCAGCAAAGGTTCAGTTTAGAATTAGTGGAGCACCTTTTAAACGATTTCTACTGTATTTATTTGAAGTGAGGTTTTCTTTTTGTAGAGAGTGACACAGATCTGTCAGCTGTTGGGGAAATCCGAGGATGTGATACAGAAAAAACTGAATGGCGGATTATCTATGGAGTCTCTGGATAATCTCAAGGAATCCGTGGAGAATTGCCTGACAGAGAAATCCGAGAAAATTACAGTCAACGGAGAATGTGATACTAAACTGGAACAAAACATCAAATCAAAAGACATAAATGATCTCATCGACCTCAAGAGTGATAATGAATCGGGGTTCGATGAGTCCAGTTCACAGTTGTCTAGATCGGGTCATGGTGACCTAAATACCCAACGGACAGGTATAGAAACTGGTTCCCTTGACTCCAGTATGTGCTCAGTGGGGAGGGAGCAGCTAAGCTTGGACTTGCTTTTGTTTGAGATGAACAGTGTGGCCATTGATTGGAAATCATTTCGCAATATTCACAACTGTAGCTGTGCATCTCCATTTAATAGTTTTACTAAAAAGGCAAGGCTTATATCATATTTAGTTTTCCAATATTCGCAACTGTAGCTGTAACTGTGCATCTTTATTGAATAGTTTTACAAAAAAGGCAACGCATATTTTATACATGATTGTATTTTACCGAGACAAAGTACAATCAAAAT